ATCCCCCTGTCTAGTGTTAATATTGTTAACAAAAACAGTGACAAAATATTTGTTGACAACCTTTTTTTATGACTAAAATGAGACGAAAACCAGGCGACAGACATCATTAAACACTAACTTTGATTATATCAACATGCAATATCACTGACGAGTGATAAAACTGTCTATATCTAAAATTTCTCTGTATTTTCTTCAACATAAAAGAGGAGAAAAAATCCAGACCGGCACGAGTTTGCATGATTGGGGTTGCCAGATGTCAGTTTAAATCCTCCTGTCTGTGTTAATTTTAACAAAAACAATGACGAAAAATATTAGCTGATGACCTTTTTATGACTAAAATTAGACGAAAATGAGGCTAGGGCAAAAATCATAATCACGATTATTTTGGTAAATATTGTAGTCACGATTATTTAGCACGATTATGAGTGGGCCACATGACCAAATTAATTTTGTGTGAGTGATTTATTTAAAGATAGTGAAATCAAATATATTTTCTTTAAATAAGGTTGCTATGACATCTACATTTTAGAGACGTTTAGAGATTTAGAGAAATTTGACAATTCTCAACACCACAGCAGAATACTAGGGTAATTAATATTAGTAAAAAAAAGTCCTCAAAAAATTATTAAACAGTCAGTAATAAAAAATAAAAAAAAGCAAAGGACAAATACAATAGAAAAAAAGATGCAAATGAAACAAACTGTGCAAGTCTAAAGTATTCAGCTAACAGTCTATTATGGAATAACTGAATGTAAAATAAAACGGCATAAGAATTAAACTTCCTTTGTTTCTTACTAAAGCTACAAAAGTCCTTCAGTCAAGAGCAGTGAGTGATTTTCTCTCTGTCTTTTGTTGTTCTATTAATATGAAACACACAGTCAGCAGCAGGAATATTAGGCTGCTGTCACTTTAAGAGCCGCATTGATCAAATGTACTGTTACACACGTATTTTCATTCTCAACTGTTTACGTTTACTTAAGACATAACGGATGAGGGTTTACGTGAATAATAATCACCAAGCGCTGCATTTTGACACATTTTTGCATGTATTTGACCATTTAGGCGCAACCTTAAGCTAAAAGTTGACTTTACTTACTTTAAAAACATGAGTAAATCTAATAAAATTTGATAAATCAAGCACAAAGTCACGTTACATGATTTTACTGATTTGCACGTGAAATTGGGCTTTTATGGAGGAGCAAAAACTCTCTATATCCAAAATTTCTCTGTATTTTCTTCAACATAAAAGAGGAGAAAAAATCCAGACCTCCATGAGTTTGCGTGATTGGGGTTACTAGATTTCAAAAGTTTAAATCTCTGCGAGTTTTCATGCTTGCTGTTGCCAGATGTCAAGAGTTTAAATCCCCCATCTAATGTTAAGTCTGTTAATCTAGATCTACACGAGTTTGCATGTTTGGGGTTGCCAGATGTCAGTTTAAATTCCGCTAGTGTTCATTTTGTTAACAAAAACAGTGACGAAAAATATTAGTTGACAACCTTTTTTATGACTAAAATGAGACAAATACAAGGCGACAGACATCATGATCTTGACAGACATGATTGGGGTTGCCAGATGTCAAGAGTTTTAGTCTTTCTATCTAGTGTTCATTTTTAATGCAAACAATGATGAAAAGTATTAGTTGATGACATTTATGACTAAGACTAAACAAAAACGAGACGACACCAACATCATTAAACACTAAATGTGACTATATCAATATGTAATATTTATGATGATAAAATGTAGTTTAAAAAATAAACTCCCTACATCCAAAATACTCTATATATTCTGCAAAAAAATATACACCTCCACGAGTTTTCATGCTTGCGGTTGCCAGATTTCAAGGGTGTACTTAGTGTTATTTTTGTTAACAAAAAATGACCAAAAATATTTTGTGACGAGCATTTCTCTTCACAGATGACATCATTAAACACTAACTATGATTATATCAGCATGCAATATCATTGACGGAAAAAAGACGTGACTAAAATGTAGTAAAAAATAAGAAATCTGTATATCTAAAACTTCTCTTTGTATTCGTCACCAAAAAGTTGAAAAAATATAGACCTCCATAAGTTTTCATGGTTGCGGTTGCCAGATTTAAAGAGTTTAAATCCCCCTATCTACTGTTAATTTCGTTGAAGAAAACAATGACCAAAATATTCTGTGACGACTTTTTTTCCCCGAGACGACACCGACATTGTTAAACACAACATGCAATTTCATGTAGTTTAAAAAACAAAAACTCTCTATATTCAAAAATATTCTATGTTTTCTTCAACAAAAAAAGAGGAGAAAAGATTTAGGCCTCCACGAGTGTTCATGCTTGCGGTTGCCAGATTTCAACAGTTTAAATCCCCCAATTATGCAAAAGACAACAACAATGATCAGTGATCGCGATTATAATTTTGAGCAAAATAATTGATTATCAGTTTAATCATTATGCAGCAGGACTAAAATGTGACTAAGTTTTAATTGACGACAACTACACTAAAATTAGACTAAACCACAAATAGGACAGGTTGACCAAAAAAGGACATTTGACACAGGACTAAAGCCCCGTTCACACTATAAAGATAATGATATTAGCGTCCACACCAGTGAACGATATCGTCTGTTTATTCCAAGCGCATGTGCGTCTGCCGCTTTAAATTCTGATGGATTCTGATTGGCTGTCAATGTTTTCCTCGTTCATCAGCTGGAAAAAAAATCGTTCTGGAAGTGATTCCAACTATATCGTTTCTCTGTGCCTTTATCGTTATAGTTGTGGTGTGGACTATATGATAACGATAAACTTTATCTTTATCGTTATCTTTATAGTTATCGTCCTTGGTGTGAACGGGGCTTAAGACTGAATTACAAAACAGCTGACAGAATTCACACTAATGCAGGTTGAAGCTGGAACTAGCGCAAATGAACGCCGATGCTGAAGTGGCTCAGCTGGAGGAGGAACTCAGGGAGAAGGTGGCCGCCGTTCTGGTCAGCCAAGCACAACTGGAAGCCGTCCAGACGCAAACCAAAGAGCTCCGCGCCGGAGAAGCCATGGGCCCCAGCGCGCAGCTGCACTCAGAGGGCCTCACGGCGCAGGCAGCCACCGCAGGGAAGACGAGCCTGATGACGGAGAAGCTGAAGGAGCTGGAGGAGGGCCTGAGCGGGATGCAGAAGGACCAGGAGCTGCAGAAGCAGCTGTTGAGCAGCTCTGAAGAGGAGGTGATGGAGTACGAGAGGAGGTTAGCCGTGATGATCGACCTACTGAACCAAATGAGAACCAAACCAACCCATCACAGACCGCTGCCGCCCGCTGAGGTGCGTCACTGCTATGTTAACTAGCGCAAACTGTGATTTTACTAATAAAAATGTGATTGCAGTTTGCTGTGTTTGTTTGTAGGGCTGCACAATTATGCAATAAATATTGTGTTTATATCTGATTTATTGTCATGACCGATATTATCGGCCGATATTTGTCTTTTTTAAAAAAAATTTATTTTAGCATGAGCCAATACGTTTTTCTATTTGGCCGATAAGTTTTGGGACTTTTATTTTGACAGCCGCTCCCTTTCTCCTAAATTAGTTTACTTTCTTTAGTTTAGTTTATTATACTTAAGCCTTTGTTTAACAGTTCTGTCTAATAGTTAAAAGGAAAATACTATACAACTTTTCATATATTGCTGGTATTTATTTGTGAAAAATACTATAATGATTATGGAATCAAGAAGTTCATATCTATATCAGAAATTATGAATGTGTTATTTATTATTTTTAAATCAAATAATAATTAAATAATAAAAAATAAAAAAATTAAATTTTATTAACGTACTTAACATTTAAATAATAGTATGATATCACATAAGCTTTATACCTGCTCTCTGTATCAGCCACTAAATATGACTATAAAATAAAATATTTAATTTTATTTATTTAATTTATTATTATTATTATTATGAATAATATTATTACTAAATAACTAATAAAATATTGTAATATTTCACTATAAAATAAAAAATATTTTTTAAATGTATAATATTTTTAAAAATATATCATTTTTACAAGGCTACTGTAAAATTGCCATACTTATATTTATCTTAATTTCTTAACTTTCGAATGTTAAAACCTAGTGTTTTAATTTCGGTAGCAAACCACAGGGAGCCCCTAAAGCTTCTCTTTTGTTGACAACCGAGAAAACACGCAGTGCCTGTATTTATTTAATTAAATCACAGCTTTTGTGATTTTATAACCGCACTAAGCCATATTGCTTGTATATACACTACCAGTGAAAAGTTTGGGATCAGAACGATGTTTAATGTTTTTACAGGAGTTTCTTATGCGCATGAAGGCTGCATTTATTTGTTTAAAAATACAGGAAAACATTTTATATTGTGAAATATTATTATGATGTAAAATAAAATTTTTCTATGTGAATCTCTGTTAAACTGTAATGTATTTCTGTGATGCGCAGCTGTATTTTCAGCATCATTCCTCCAGTCTTCAGTGTCACATGATCTTCAGAAATCAGTATAATATGCTGCTTTATTATCAGTGCTGGAAACTGCTTCATATTTTTTTTGGAACCTGTGATACTTTGTTTCAGGATTCTTTGATGAATAAAAAGTTAAAAAGAAGAGCGTTTATTTAAAATAGAAATCTTTTCTAACAATATACACTACCGTTCAAAAGTTTGGGGTCGGTACATTTTTATTCTTTCTTTATTTTTATTCAGCGAGGATGTGTTAAATTGATAAGAAGTGATAGCAAAGATTTATATTGTAATCTTTTAAACTTTTTATTCATCAGAGAATCCTGAAAAAGTATCGCCGTTTCCCCCAAAAAATATTTGTCAGCACAACATTGATAATTCTAATAATAAAGCAGCATATTATACTGATTTCTGAAGATCATGTGGCACTGAAGACTGGAGGAATGATGCTGAAAATACAGCTGCTCATCACAGGAATACATTACAGTTTAACAGAGATTCACATAGAAATCATTGCGTTACATTGTAATAACATTTTGCAAGATTACAGTTTTTTTCTGTAATTTTGATCAAGTAAATGCAGCCTTGATGAGCAGAAGAGACTTCTTTAAAACACATTACAAGTCTTACTGATCCCACACTTTTGAGCGGTAGTGTGTATATATATATATATATTGTATAATATAAGCCATATATATGGTGGTAATTTCCAAACATTTAAATAATTAAAATAGTAAATTTACCATATTATGCATTAATTCATGAATAATTAATTAAATATTATTATGTATTATTATGTCATACATGACACAAAGAGCAAAACAGTTTACCCTCACTCTGGTGTAATGCATTAGGAAATCGTTATGTGAGTGCACATGTCTGTATCTTGAAAATAATGCATTACAACTTTATTAAAATTAGGGATAATTCCATAATTTTTGTGATTATTATCGGAAAAACTGGAGGGACTGATCAGTGAATCTGTGTTATTTATATACTATTATAGAGTTATTCATAGTTTGAATTAGTTTTTATTTTATATTTGCTGTTTTCATTTTAGTTTTAGTCTTTTAATTAAGTTTTAATTCAATTTTATTTTATTGTGTATTTTTGTCATATTGGTTTTATTTTTAAGGCTTTATAATTTGTATTCACTTATTTCAATTTTAGTAATTGTTTTACTTAAAAAAATTAAAATTAGAAATTTTGTCTGGGCAACTAACTTTTATTTTTTATTTTATTTTAATTGTTTTATTATTGTTTTAGTTTTATTCAACTTTAATAACTGTGGTTTGTAGGCCTGCACAATTTAACAAAAAAAAATCACTATGACTATAAAATATTTTTTATTATAATTATTATTATTACTAAAATAAAAAGATTATATAATAGGGCCGCACAATTTGGGCAAAAATTGTGTGATTTTATATTGATTTGACGATAAAATAATTGTTTTTATTATCATTTGTATTATGATATATTATTGTTACTAAATAAAAATATTAAACAAAATAAGAAATATTACTATTGCATTGTTTCACTATAAAATAATTTTTAAAAAAAAGTTTATTTGGGGGGGGAAGACATTTATTTTATTTGAAGTAAGAAATGTATTTTTAATGGTTTTCGCTTGAGTTGTGTAGCACCTTCCGCTCTGCAGAACCTTCTGAGGAAATGAGTTCAAATCCTTTAGGAGCAGATGAATGTGTCTTTAAACACTGTTGTCACTGTGTTGCTGATCATTTTGTCTGTTGTTCTTCATCAGATGAAGGAGAGCACGGTCACGCAGCTCCAGACGGCCCTCAGCCAGGTAGAGAATGAAACCGAGACGGCTGAACTCCTCCAGGAGCTGCAGGAGGTCAAAGGTCAAGTGAGCAGCACACAGCAGGAGCTGGAGAGCTGCAGGGATCAGAGCGTCAGACTGCAGGAGCTGCTGCAGGTATCCAGGGTTTTACAGCTCAAGTCAAAAAACTAAATCGCAATATTATCAAATTGCAAAGTGTGTTTACATTATATATATATATATATATATATATATATCTTCCTGACTACCAGCTGTGGAGTTTTGTCCTCTGTAGAGGACATTATGTTTTAGTGATTTCTCTGATTGGGAAACGAGCCCTGTCAATGTTGACTCAGCGATTCTTTTGTGCCGATCGCTTCTCCACAGAGAGGATTATCAGCGAAGTAATCACTTAAAGTTTGGGCCATTCATTAAACAAATCTATTGTATAACTTGGAGAACTGCGCCAGTTGTTCCGGCTACTTTTATGATATGTTTAGTGTGTTTGGATTCGTTTTGAAGCTTGGAATGCAGCATGAAATGGCACGGAATCCCATTCTACTCAAATTGAATTTATATTGATTGGTAGATTTAAAGGTGACATATCATGAAAATGTGAGTTTTCCAGGTTGTAAGTGCTATAATCAGGTCCCCGGTGCATCTACCAACCAAGCAAACGTGAAAAAGATTAACCCAGTAACTATTTTGGGAAGCCTTTTTCTGCAAGCGTCTGAGAAAACCAGCGCGTCTGATTTTGCTCGCTTGGTGACGAGGCAAAGGAACTCATTATAATATCACCGCCCCTTAATCTGTAAGTTTCCACCCGCAGCATCGTCATTGTGCACAGACGAGCACAGAACACTGTTTAGAGTCCCAGCCTCAGACGAGACAGAGCAGTGCATTTATTGATTTATTTACTGTATATTGCTGCTGCCACACAGATCTAAAATAAACATGCGATTTATTTCCCAGCTGTTTACCTTCACAGACATAACCCACTGTTTTTGTAACTCATGTGTGTTTTTAACATAAGCTTGTGTGTGAATGAGAGCTTAAGTTTAGTACTCGCATGCTGCGACAGCCGCTTTCTGTGCGTGTGCTTCGGATGTGTGCGCTCAGAAAACCCTATATGTGAAGTTTAAACTCATATGCTTTAAAATGCATGATTTCAGCGCGATAAACATGATAATCAGAACCAGAACAGATGTGTTTAGCAGGTCCGAGCTGTAAAGGCGCAGCTCTATTCTGGAAAAGGGGGCGGGGAGCAGCAGCTCATTTGCATTGAAAGAGACAGGCACGAAAACAGCATGTTTCTGCTTCCACTCAAAATAGGCATTTTCAATCTGATATAATAAATGATCTGTGGGGTATTTTGAGCTGAAACTTCACAGACACATTCACCAGAGACTTATATTACATATTGTAAAAAGGAGCATAATATGTCACCTTTAAATGACACAACATTTTTTTTTGTTGTTCATAGAAATGCTGTGGAAAACTGAAAACACAAATCTTGTGACTGGTAGATGTCACTTTTATTTAGAGAAAACATAAAAACCAGACATTAATATGTTCCTTTGTGCATAGCGTAAGTATTTCAAAGTATTCTAAAGTATCTAGATTAAGTTACTAAACCCGAGTAATCTAACGAAATACATTACTGGTTACTTTTTAACGCATGTATTTTGTAATCCGTAGTGAAATACGTTTTAAAAGTAACCTTCCCAGCCCTGCATACATGTATATATTTAAGAAATACTTACATGTGTATATATTTATATATGATTTATATTATACATTATAAATATACATTACATGTATTTCTAAAATATATACATGTATGTATGTATGTTTGTATATTTATATATACAGGGTACACATACATATTATGTAAACACATTTTATTTTTCATTCATGGATGCGATTAATCGATTTGACAGCATTATTATATCATTTTAGAATATTAATAATAATAATAAGTATTATTATATATCAATATTGATACGTAATTACAGAATTTAGGCAGAATACAAGCAAGCACAGGAAACGTGATTTTATTTTAAATCACTTTTTTACTAAAATCTTATTTTAAATTGCAAAAGCACATTTTATCAGAAAAGTTTTTTTAATAGTTTTTTATTATATGTTCCATTTTAATAATTTTTTTTAAAAATAATTGTGTGTTTTTTGTCATTTTTATTTATTTATGTATTTATTTTGTGTGTGTGTGCATGTGTTAATTTTTATTTCAATTTTAGTACATCACGTTAAACTAAAAATTTAGGAATGTTGCCTTGGCAACTAACTGAAATAAAATTAGTAATTTTTAAAAATGTTTTATTTTATTTCAAGGAAAGGATTTTTTTTATTTTTAGTTTTAATAATTATTATCAGAAATTATTTCAGTAATAATTAATAATAAATGTAATCGTTATTTCATAATTGTCAATTTTTATCAGAAAAATTGCAGTGATTTTTCCTCCTGAATCGTGCCGCTCTAGTCTGGATTCTGGGCTCATTGTTGATGTTGTTTGTGTGCAGGAGAGAGAGATGAGCATCGCTCTGCTGAAGGATCAGCTGCACAGGGTGAGTCTCCACACGCTCTGATGGGATGCTCGCTTTGACCTTTGACCTTTGACCTGTGCTGGTTTCTCTGCAGGCCTCACAGGAGGGCGACGAGCCCACGGCGGAGCTGCAGGAGGTCAAAGGTGAAGCGGCCGCCACCAAAGAGGAGCTGAGGAGCTCCCGGGAGCGCAGCCTCAAACTGCAGGAGGAGATCGAGGTACTTCCTGTCCACTTCAGCTTAGCTTCCTGTCTGCTTCCTCTAGTGCTCGATGAAGGAACCACAAGAGCTTCATGGGATTGTTATGGAGTTGTCTAATATGTTACATACAAGTATGAAAGTAAATGATCGAATGAGTAACCTTAAGCTCATATTTTAGTTCTACACGTGTGTTTTTGAATTTTGTGAACGTTTAGAAAATTACAGTTTGACAATTAAAGGACTTCCTGTATTTTAATTTTACATTTTAATGATTTTATCAATTTTAGTGTTTCATTTTGCGTTTTCATTTCAAAGTCCTTTATTTATTTTAATCCTACGTTCTTATTTTATTAATTTTTACTAAGTGTTTTATTTTAACAATTTAAATTGTACATTCTTATGATTTCAATATTTTTTTTATTTTTTTATTATTTATTCATTTTAATTGGCTTTTTATGATTTAATTAATTTTAGCATGCAAAACTTAAAAACATTTACTTATTTTAATTTGACATTTTTATTATTTTATACATTTTTATTTAGTTTCTTTCAATATGTTATAATCTTTTTTTATTTTAAAATTGTTTGTTTTAATTTAAATCTTTATGATTTAATTCATTTTAGCACATTATGGTTGTTTTTATTTTAAAATTGTTTTAATTTTAACTTTTTTTTTATTTAATTTAATTCATAAATTTAATTCATTTTAGCACGTTTTGTTTTGATGGTTTTAATTTTTAAATGTTTCATTCATATTAATTTTGCATTCGAAATAGCCGGCCGTGTTGATGTTGTTGGATATTCTCGTGAAACATTTGGCACAGATGCGATTGGTCTATTTTCCTGCATTTATTGGCACACACTCAGACAGAAATCAAGTGTGTTATGTCTGCTGGTGTTGTTATAGCTGTGGTGTCTCTCTCAGGTCAGAGACGCGTGCATCGCTGAGCTGAAGGACAAAGTTCAGGCGCTCCAGACCGCTTTGGCCAAATCCAGCGAGGAGCCGCTACAACAAGAGAAAAAGAAAAGAGGCAGCAGAGAGCATCATGGGATGGACAAAAGCAGGAGCTCCTCGTCCTGTGTGGACGTGTGTGTGCAGACGCATCCGTCCGGAGCCCAGGAGCTGCAGCAGGTGATGCTGGGATACGAGGAGAAGATTGCACAGATGCAGGAGCTGCACGCGGCTGAGATCCTGGACATGGAGGCCAGACACATCTCTGAGAGCGAGAGCCTGAGGAGAGACAGCCAGCAGCTGGAGGACGAGTGCAGAGCGCTCAGAGACCAGCTCAGGACCGCGCAGGTCACATCAACTACTACATCTCTGTTTTTAATTTTAGATTATTTCATTATTGTAATTTTACATTTTAACCATTTAATGAATTTGTATTTTATATATGTGACCCTGGAGCACTGAAATTGAGATTTATGCATAAATAAGCTTTCCATTGATGTGTGGTTTGTTATGAAAGCACAATGTTTGAAAATCTGGAATCTGAGGGAGCAAAAAAATCTAAATATTGAGAAAATCATCTTTAAAGTTGTTCAAATGAAGTTCGTAGCAATGCATATTACTAATCAAACATTAAGTTTTGATATATTTACGGTAGGAGATTTACTAAATATCTTCATGGAACATGATCTTTACTTAATATCCTAATGATTTTTGGCATAAAAGAGAAATGTATAATTGTGACCCATACAATGTATTGTTGGCTATTGCTACAAATATCCCCCAGCGACTCAACACTGCTTTTGTGCTGCAGGCTCACATATATATATATTTTTTATTTAATTTATCCATTCACTATAGGGAAATACAAACATTATCAATGTATCACATTTAAATAATCACACAAAAAAATATATTATTAAATACATTAAAGTATTGAATCACTTGAAACAAAAGGAATATATTTTATACATTTGACATGGATGAGTTATTTTATATAAATTTTTTTATTTGTTCATTTTTATATTTTTATTTATATTTAACTTTTAATTAAATTTCTTTTATTTGTTATTTTAATGTATGTAGTATATATAGTTTTTATAAATTTTTTATTTTAGTTAGTTATTTTAGTTCATCAAGTTAAACTGCATGAAAATGAGAAATGTTCGCTTGTCTGTAGTTTTTATAAATAATTTGAATTCATTTTTAATTTTTATATTGTTAATTTTTAGTTTTATAAATTTTTAGTTTTTGCCTTTTTTATTATTATTATTTAATATATCTATATAGTTTTTATTAATTTTTACTTCTGTTTTAGTTACTTTAGTACGTCAAGTTAAAGTAAATGGGAATGAGAAATGTTGCTTGGCAACTATCTGAAATAAAATAATTTAAGTTTTTGTATATTTTATTTTATTTCAGTTAATGTTTAGTTTATTTCAGAAGTTGAGTATCTTATTACATCTTGATCAACATTTATGAAAGTAGTTATTTGGTTTTTAAATAAGATGCACTAATGAATAATTCATAATAAAACCAGAGACATTGATTAAGAAAAGAGTCAATTCTCCTTTAAATGAAAATGAATGTGTCTGAGTGTATTGTAATATCAGATGGTGATTTTTCTTCGTCAGGCTCCGTCAGTGAGGTCTGAACACTCAGCCGTCTCTCCGCTTAAAGACGGATACGCCAGTGGTGAGAGATTTATTATTACTACAACAACTAGATATATATATTTTATGTTCTGGGTTATAAACACTAGTGTTTAAAAATTTAGGGTCAGTAAAAAATTTTAATATCTTTTGCTCTTCTGCTCACCAAAGCTGCATTTATTTGATGACAAATACAGTAAAAATTGTGAAATATTATTGTGATTTAAAACAGCTGTTTTCTATGTGAATCTCTGTTAAACTGTAATGTATTTCTGTGATGCGCAGCTGTATTTTCAGCATCATTACTCCAGTCTTCAGTGTCACATGATCTTCAGATATCAGTATAATATGCTGATCTGCTGCTCGAGAAACATTTCTGATTATTATCAATGTTGAAACCTGTTGTGCTGCACAATATTTTTGTGGAAACCGTGATACGTTTTATTTTTGAGGATTCACGGATGAATAGAAAGTTCAAAAGAACAGCATTTATTTGAAATAGAAATATTTTGTAACTTTATACTGACACTTTTGATCAATTTAATGCATCCTTGATGAATAAAAGTATTCATTTCTCATGCTGTGTCTGTGTGTGTGTGTGTCTGTGTGTGTCACAGACAGCAGTTCAGACTGGAGTCAGCGCGTGGGTTTCGATCTTCCTCACCTGCAGCAGGAGTCCCGCAGCACACCTGAAGGAGCGCACAGAGACGTGGATCCGGACGTCCTGCCAGACAGGGTCAAGGTGAGTTTTCCAGAGAATATCTGACTGTATAATGAACACACTAAATGAGGAGCTGATGGAGGTGTTCACACAGAGCCTGCTGCGTGAGGTGCATCAGGAGGGCATGCAGGTGCTGTCGCTATCTGAGCTGCCGCTATCTGAAGCGGATCGACCTCCTCCTCAGAGCTGGAGCAAAGAGAGAGACGCCCTCATCAACACCGTTGAGTCCCTCAAGCTGCTCATCAGCACACTGCAGAGCGGCACCGACACACAGGTGAACACACACACACACACACACACACACAGGTGAACACAGACACACACCGGTGAACACACACACACACACAGGTGAACACAGACACACACACACTCAAGTGAACACAGACACACACACACAGGTGAACACAGACACACACACAGGTGAACACAGACACACACACAGGTGAACACACACACACACACAGGTGAACACAGACACACACACACAGGTGAACACACACACACACACACACAGGTGAACCCAGACACACACAAGTGAACACAGACACACACACAGGTGAACACACACACACACACACACACACACACACACACACACACACACACACACACACACACACACACACACACACACACACACACACACACACACACACACACACACACACACACACACACACACACACACACACACACACACACACACACACACACACACACACACACACACACACACACACACACACACACACACACACACACACACACACACACACACACACACACACACACACACACACACACACACACACACACACACACACACACACACACACAGGTGAACCCAGACACACACAAGTGAACACAGACACACACACAGGTGAACACACACACACAGGTGAACACAGACACACATGTGAACACACACAGGTGAACACACACACACACACAGGTGAACACAGACACACAGGTGAACACACACACACACACACCCCTGAAAACACACAGATGAACACACACAGATGAACACACACACACAGGTGAACACACACACACACAGGTGGACACACACACACACAGGTGAACACAGACAGACACACACACACACACAAGTGAACACAGACACACAGGTGAACACACACACACACAGGTGAACACACACACACACCCCTGAAAACACACAGATGAACACACACAGGTGAACACAGACACACACAGACCAGCTTCACAGTGCATTTCACTGACTTCGAACTGCATCTGTATTATTGAAGAAAGCCTGTAAAATAATCCAGAATTACATGTTTTGAGCTTAATGACACACAATGTGAATTTAATTACACACACAGGTGAACACACACACACACACAGGTGAACACAGACACACAGGTGAACACACACACACACACACCCCTGAAAACACACAGATGAACACACACAGATGAACACACACACACAGGTGGACACACACACACACAGGTGAACACAGACACACAGGTGAACACACACACACACACACCCCTGAAAACACACAGATGAACACACACAGATGAACACACACACACAGGTGGACACACACACACACAGGTGAACACAGACACACAGGTGAACACACACACACACACACCCCTGAAAACACACAGATGAACACACACAGGTGAACACAGACACACACAGACCAGCTTCACAGTGCATTTCACTGACTTCGAACTGCATCTGTATTATTGAAGAAAGCCTGTAAAATAATCCAGAATTACATGTTTTGAGCTTAATGACACACAATGTGAATTTAATTAACTATATGTGAACTCTTGTAGAAATAAAATAAATAAATGTAATAGGAAAATAAATAAAGGAATAAATGGTGTGATAAAACAAATACTTTTTATTTTATATATATATAGTCTTTAATTTTATTTTGATTGTTTATTTTAAAATTATTTATTTTAATTTGACACTTTTATGATTTAATAAATTAAGTGTTTTTTAATGTTGCATTCTTGTTATTTTATTAATAAGTTTTTTTTTACAGTATTTATTTATTTTAATTAACTTTAAGATTTAATTCATTTTAGTGTGCATTTTTATTTTGATAATTTTAAATTTAAAATCATTCACTTATTTTAATTTCACATGCCTATTTTTATTAAGTGTAAAATATTTTTTTTAATTTTACATTGATCTAATTAAGTTTTAAGTCATTTATTTCATTTTTTATTTTAAATGTATTTTAATTTCACATTTCATGATTTATTTTATTTTAAAATCATTCATTCATATTAATTTTGCATTCGACTGACAGTGATGACATTGTATATTTTCATGAAACATACAATAGATGACGTAATAAAAGAAATAACATTTTTAAAATAATATTTAGTCCTAAATTAATTTTTATGTTACTTTTTTCCTTTATGAATTATTTTCTGTCTTTATTCTTTCATTTATTTCTTTGTATATTGATGACCTGGTTTATGTTTGTGTGTATTGTGCTAGTTCAGACGTTGAGGTGTTCTCTGTGTCTGTAGGGGGATGGCGACTGGAGAGCGGAGCTGCTGTCGGCTGTTCAGCACGTGTTTGTTCAGGAGCGAGACGTGCTGAAGAACGTCTTATACTCTCATCTGGAGCGACTGGACACGGCTGACGCTGTCATTCATCTCAGCCAGCTGGAGAGAGCGCTAGCGGAGCAGGTTAGCATACGGCACACTCTAGTGTTGATGTTAGATGTTCAGACTGTAACGTCTGTGCTGGTGGTTGTGTTCAGGACGCGAGGCACAGGGAGCTCATGGGAGCGCTGTGCACCGCAGACAGAAGCAGCCTGCGCTCAGAGATCCAGCAGCTTAGAGCTCAGCTCACACAGCGCCACCATCAGGACGCCGCCGGTATGACACACTCCTCACTGTTCACGCTGCCAGCTTCAGCTTCCACTGCATAAAGCTTTCTGTTCTTCAGGAATGAAGAGCGAGAGCGGGGCCGAGCTGATGCCAGGCGGTGCTGCGGTGGGATGCGGCTCTGATCGACTGAACCAGACTAAACTAGAGCTGGAGAGTGCTCTGAAATCACAACACAAACACCTGAAAGAACTCGACGCACTCAGGTGACACATGCACGGCTTTTATTGATATATATATATATGTGTGTGTGACCCTGGAGCACAAAACCAGTCATAAGGGTCAATTTTTCTGAAATTGAGATTTATGCATCAGCTGAAAGCTGAATAAATCATCTCTCCATTGATGTGTGGTTTGTTAGGATCGGACAATATTTGAAAATCTGGAATCTGAGGGTGCAAAAAAATCTAAATATTGAGAAAATCATCTTTAAAGTTGTTCAAATGAAGTTCTTGGCAATGCATATTACTAATCAAACATTAAGTTTGGATATATTTAGAGTAGGACATTTACAAAATATCTTCATGGAACATGATCTTTACTTAATATCCTAATGATTTTTGGCATAAAAGCAAAATCTATACAATGTATTGTTGGCTATTGCTACAAATATCCCCCAGCGACTCAACACTGTACACATATGTTGTGAATAATATAGTCAGTAATAATATATGTAAATTATATATGCACACATAATCAGTTATAGTAGTCTGTAAAATATATTTATATAAATGAGTAAAGTTATATATAAATAATATAATTAACAATTATATATAACTAAAATATATAATATGTAATACATATGACTCATATGATATATATACAAATTATATAAATAATTGTCTTTAATTTTTAATTTGCATAAAAATGTTTTTGTATATTTGTATCATCATTGCAATGTGTGAGTAAAATAATATAAATATTTAATATAATAATAATAATATATTGTTATATATTACATTTATTATTGCACAATGTAATTTATATTTGTAACATATATGTATTACATATACATATCATATAGTATTTCTAAATTTATATTATTTTTATAATATTATACATTATAAATAAATAAATATGTATAAATAGAAATAAATATGTATATTTTCATTAAAATGTTTTTGTATGTTCATGAGGTAAGTGTTTTTGATATCTGACATTTTATGTTCGAAAAGCATTTGCATTTGCTTTAATATTCAGATTATTCGACTTTTTGTGCAGATTTAATTAGCTAGTCTTGCTAGTAGAGTTGGAGGCGATTTAAAGCAACTGTATGAAAGTTTTGTACCGTAATATAAGTTTCAGAGTCATTCTGATGGTACACTGACTTCTGTTTCAAATGCGCACACACAGCTATTTACTATAATTATGACAGTGATATAATTACCACTCGCTTAACTGTAGGGGCTCCAAAGACACATAGAGGAGTGAATAAAGCTGCTGTGTGTGCTGTGCAGGGCCGAGGTCTCACTGAAGGCCGCTGAAGTCGATGCATTGAACGACAGACTGGCACTCGAGCAGAAGAGAGCCAGAGAGCTGCAGTGGGCCTTCGAGAAGGAGAAACGCAAGTCTGACAGGAAGGAGGAGACCGAGAGAGAGGAAGTGGAGGTAAAAACCGTCACTGAAGTAACATGTAATGAGTGTTTTACATCAAGTGTTCGATTATGTGCGTCATTATGCGTCTCTGCAGGAGCTTAAACTGGCTCTGGAGGAACAGGCGCGGGAGGCCAGCGTCTCCGCAGAGCTGCAGGTGCGTGTCATCTAACGCTCTTGAGTGTGTTTCACTTTGTCCGAGCAGGAGATTGAGCCCTGTGTGTGTGTGTGTGTGTTTGTGTGCGTTTGCGTGTGCACGTGAGCGTGTGTTTGCATGTGCACGCGTTTGCGTGTGCACGTGTGTGCGCGTGTGCGTGTGTTTGCGTGTGCGTGTATGTTGCGTGTGCGTGTATGTTTGTGCGTGCGCGTGTGTGTTTGCATGGGCGTGTGTGTTTGCGTGGGCGTGTGTGTTTGCGTGTGTGTGTGTGTGTGTCTGTGTCTGTCTGTGTGTGTGTTTGCATGTGCGTGTGTGTGTGTGCGTGT